AAGTCAATTTAGTAGTTTGGAACGGTCCGTTCCGGGCTACTAAATCACCCATATTGAGTTTTTTGGGCATTCTGAAATAACTTACTACGTTACACTTAATAATTTATTATATTATTTTATTTTAATGTATAATATAATATATATATATATATGTATATAAATATAATAATATAATTACTTAATAATTATATAAAAATATATATTATTTAATATAATAATATTACTATTATTTTAGATCCAAAAGTTACAAGTTGAAGTTATTGGAGTACTTTTTTTTCTAAGTTTTATGATAACTCATCTTCAATTGAAATTAATAATATAAAGAAATTATGTTAATTATTGTTTGAAGAGTATCAAACTAAAGTTAAGGGAATATTGGAAAGTTTAACTTTATGAGCAAAAGTCAATGAGTTAAACTTGAATAATTTAAATATTAACAATTTTTTTAGTGATTATGACTCATTTATAAATGATACAATTGAAATACAAACAAAGTTTGAAATAAAGCTCTACTTTGGAAGAAAAAGTTTTGTCTATGAGTACTACTTTTGACATTCTTGGATGGTGGAAACAAGGGGATCAAAGTATCCAATTTTGGAAAAAAAAATTGCTAAGAATGTTTTGGTAATCTCAATTTTAATCGTAGCTTCAAAATTTGCATTTAGTAAAGGAGGAAGATTTTTGAATCCTCATTACTCTAGACTTTATGAATTTACTCTAAAGGCACTTGTGTGTGCACAAAGTTGGTTGAAACACTAGCAACAAAATAATAAATAACTAAACCTTATTTTATTTAATAAAAGTTGCTTTATTTTTTATTGTTAATTTTAATTATTAATTTAAATTGTCTAATAATTCATTTTCTTGTCATGTATCGAGTATTAGGAAAAAGTTGATCAAGTATCAAGATTAGGTCTGATAAAAAATAGAAGAACGGTCAACAAACACTAGATGGGGCCTACTACAAGACGAAACCTTGAAGTATCAGATGAAAAGCTAAAACAGCTAAAGCTGGAACAAGGTAAACATGGGTTAAATATCAGATGAAACTAGATGGTCAACTTTGACGAATGAAAAATCAAGGCAAGGAAAATCATGAGAATCAGACAACTCAAGCTAACAAAACAGACTAAGTATAAAGTGTGCACTAGATGACTATGAGTCTAATACTAGACGAAGGTGTGTATTAAGGACAACCTCAAATGCAAATTAGAAGAAAGTTAATCAGAGATTAGAAGAAAGTCAACCACGTAATCAGAAGAAGGACAACACAAACTGAAAGACATTCCAGACGAAAACAAGTTTGTCCATTCATAATGTTAACAAGATCTTAAAAGAAGTCAAAATATCAACATCAAATTCTCAAATGAAGAACAAAACGTGAGACGCATGAGATTAATAGACGTAGACGAAGATTGTCATGTCAACACTTAAAGAATCAAGTCTCAAAAGACTACTCAGGCATCATCTACAAGTACTTTCAAAGTAATAGCGTGATCAAGGGAAGAGAAGAAAAAGAAGAAGGAAAACACGTAAAAGCAAAAGCATGCATGTGTTAGAAAAAGTACAACACTTTTTCAGATATGGACAACAATCTACAACTATGTGACTGGAAAAGGACAAAAAAGGTTCTTAGGTCCTAGCTAAGGTCATACACAGCAGCTAACAAATGCAAAAAACTACACGCAATGTCTATGAACAGGAAGCAATATTTAATGCAAGAACCTAAGCATTAAATGAAAGATTAAACTAGTCATGAACGACTATATCCTCTTCAACGTACACTTGCAACGGGTAGATTTCACAAGACTATATATAGGTCACAACGTCGAACCTGGAGACGCTGGCTGTTTGGCTCGAAATGGTTCAAGCGAGAAAAAGAGTAATATCTAGTTCATGAAGCAACAAAACCAGAGATAAAACGTATAGAGTCAAATGTACCATAATGCAATTCGTCTCTATAAACTAAGGAGTTCCAAGCATGTGCATATTAGGAACAAAACCTTAGTGAGTGTACAAACTGATGGACTCCTTCCACCAAGGGGATGATCAAACGTTTATGATCATATTCAAGGAAGCTAGGATAGCTCGTGCAGGATTAGTCATGATTAGCAAATAGAATACAATGTGTATTTCCTTTTGATCTTTTTATTGTACACACTCAATGACATTCAATA